AGGGGAATAGTTTTGAGGCTTTGAGGTAATTGGCGGCAAAAAGGAAAAGCAGCAGATGCCAGCTGGCGTGTTTGTGTAGAACTATCGGGAAAAAATATACTTTTGGTCCTTTATGTTTACGGATAAGAGCATTTTGGTCCCTCTTGTTCCAGAAAAATACTTTTTGGCCGCTCAATTTATCACTTAATGAGTTATCAAATCTCTTAACTACCATCTGACTTCTAAAATTAAAAAAATTTGTTCTCCAAAGGGGTTATTAAAATGGGTTTGTATTTTGATATTTCTCCTATTTGAATCTAAAAATACTTCTTGTAGACTGAGTTATCAAAAAAATAACCACCTAACCAACCATTCACAAATTGACATGTGGCAATTACATATAAAATTATCAAAAAACTTCCAATTGATAATAAAATTTGATTATCATGGTTGGGGTAGAAGAGTTTTAAATGTATTTTAAAATATTATCTTAAATATCAAATGAGCATTTGATAATCCAATTTTGATATTTAGCATTGGAGTTGCTCTGATACATTTGGTATGCTTCATTGATTAGGAGAACTATCGGAAAAATATACTTTTGGTTCTTCATGTTTACGGTTAGAACATTTTGGCCCCTTAATTTGTCACTTTATGACATATTTGGTCTGTTCCGTCTATGGTTTGTTAGTAACCAACGAAATTTGGCTCGCGTTGGACGCGTGCGCCGCCATTCCCATCAAATTTATGCCTAAAAACATAAATTTTCGATTGTTAACAACTTTTTTGGCTAATGGTCTAGAGTTTAAACAACATGGAGATAAGCTGAATTTATTCCAACACAATCTGAATTTCGAGAGAGAAACACAATTGAAAAGATTAGAGAGAAATCTTTATAAAAGTTGTTTTTGGTTGGTTGGTGGATATAGGTTCAAACTGAAGCGAATCACGTTAATTTTTTAGTCAACTGTTTGATTTCTATGAAGATCAATTGTACACACATACGTTATTTCATAACAAACTTCAACTCAAATCGAACCCGATATTTCGTTCATTCATTCGATTTTGAACTTGTCTAAGCCTTCATGACGAACTAAACCATACCAACGGTCACGTTGCAATTAAACCGGTCCAATTTTGATGACCTAGGCATTTCAAGTTGTAAATACGAACATAAAAACACAAGAAAAAATGTATAATTAGAGAACGAGGAAAACATTATATTGATATTATATTTGTGTACACTTTCTTGTACATTATTAACTTAGACATCGATCTTGAAAATAATAGTTTTTTCTGCTCCCTCATTTGGCACAACACTAAAATTTTGGGAACAAGAATGTTTATCTCCATTGGGGAGACTGACTGTGGCTTCATATTCACCGTGAAAAAGTGAAGTCCCGAACAGACCGTTACCGTTTGTGGTTCCAGGTGAGCCAGCAGCATGAGTCAACTCACTTATGAACTCGTCCACAACATCTCCGGTTGGCAAATTCTTGAAATTATTGTCCGTCAAACACATAGCATAGCATCCGGTCGGATTCCATGCAGCCCACATCATTATTCCTTCAACTGCCCAATGTGAATGAAGCTCCTTCATTATTTGCTCCAAGTACATTGCCTGCCCAAAAACGAGGTAGTAAATATTAGGAAAATTACAATTTTATCCCTCGAGTTTGTACCGATTTCACATTTGGTCCCCTATATTAAAAAAAATACATTTGGTCTTTTATGTTTCAATAATTTGACCAAGATTGACCGTTTCTTTTCTACAAATTTAGCCCGCATAAAAATGATCGACCAATAGTGTACTATTATTCGTACACGAAATAAGACTCGAACTATTCAATCAATATGAATTATGAGTGGAATCGGACGGATCCGATCGAAATTAGCATTTTATTTTTTTTGACAGTGAAAAACTAATTCCAATTATGATCCAAAAAAATCGGAAGGAATGAAAAAAAAAAATGTTCCGTAACCGAAAATTTAAGGATTGAAATCGGCAATATCCGGAAAATTCCAAATTTTCAGTCACTTCAAAAACAAAATAAATGATAATATGAACATTACAAGAGTAAACTTCGGTGAAAAAATTGAAATTTTCAAAAATTATTCGTGAAAACTGAAATCGAATAATAAATCGGAATCTCATATTTATTCCAATCAAAATTTTGAAAATAGGACAGAAAAATATTGTTCAAAAATCGGAAAATTTTGAATCGAAATCGACGAAAATCAAAAAATTCAATTCCAATTTTATACGAATTTTAGCCGTTTTATCAACAATTAAATAAGCAAAATTCAATTGAAATTAACTGACCATTTCAAGAATTTAGGTTTTACCTGGTTGGGCCCAGATTTAACATCCAATTCAGTAATCCAAATAGGCAATTTAGCAGAAGCAAGCTGATCAATGGCAGCCCTAATATACGGCAGATTCATACCAGGAAAATGTGCTTCAAGCCCAATACCCAAAGGACCATTATACCCCTGCTCTCTCATCAGCGCGATCTTCTGCATGTATTTAGGCGGCGACGCCTTACCGATTCCACTCACTTCAATCGTATTGTACTCGTTCAGATACGGCACCGTTTTGGGGTCGGTCTTGTGGGCCCGCTCGAAGAACACGGCGGAGGCGTTCGCCCCCAGCTGGCTCTCGAAGAAGCCGAAGTGCAGATTCTCGTTCATCACATCCCAGTGGAACAGCTTGCCGGAGTACCTGTTCATCACCGAGTTCATCCTCCGGTGCGCCGCCGCAGTCAGTTCCGCCGCCGGAAGTGTCTTGACCCACTCCGGCTGGTACCTCGGGTCGTCCCACAACACGTTGTGGCCCCGGATCCGGATCCCGTGCTCTTCGGCGAACCGGACCATGGCATCGCACACGGCGTAATCCTCCACTCCTCTCTCCAATTCGATCGCGTACCTGTTTGATAAATTTGATTCGTGTTATATATGTATCGGGTAAATTACGGGCCACTTCTGACCTATGGTCAAATTACAAAAACCACCCTCTTGTTTGAGTAATTACATCTACCCTTCAACTATGGGTCGTTTTACACGTTCACCTTTGCGGTATCAAATGTAGTGGAATCTTCTAGATTATATGGAATATTCTTCAGTTTGTACCTGTTTTATCCCATTCGAGCTCTTCATTTTGAAACAAGATGATCATAAGATGTGTTTTTTGGCTTATATATATATATATATATATATATATATATATATATATATATATATATATATATATATATATATATATATATATATATATATATATATATATATATA